TCAGCTATGTCAGGGATTGATAAATGGTTTGGACAGTAAACTGCTTGCCATACAGGTAATATCAAGACTCTTCAACACTCCACAAGACCGCGTAGAGCCCCCTTTCGCTGGCCGGCTACTGTGCTCCTTCTCTGTGAGACGGTGTGAGTAGCAAGCAACTATTTGGTGTATTGTCGAGCCGTTAGCCTGCTGAGATAGCATAAACCCGACTGTAGTGCCTCTGGCATCAATCATGAGGAAAACCGGTTTACCAAAATCAGGGAACGCGAGTACTGGGGATGATTTCAGATGAGGCCTAGGGCGGCTTCTTCTTCATTCTCCGTCCGCGTAAACTGCTTGCCCTTCTTCACAAGATCAGTTAGAGGGGCAGCAATGCGAGCGAATCCAGGAACAAAACTGCGGTAGTATGAGGCCAGCCCGAGGAACTTTTGAACCTTCGTCCGCGTGTACAGCGGTAGAGGCCAAATCCCAATCGCCTCGATCTTTGCTTGATCTGGTTCAACCCCTGCTGCAGAGACACGATATCCTAAGAAACTTATTTTTTGCATGAAAAGCGAACACTTTTGCGCCTTCGCCAACCACTGCTTCTCACGTACTAGTTGGAGCGACTGGAGGAGTTGCTGCAACTGATCCTGCACATTTCGGCTGAACACAAGCACATCATGCATGTATATTACCACCCGCCGGTGGGTGATTGGCGCCAAGAAGCCATGATTGCTCCGCAGCTGCAGTTCAGCATGTGCATTCACGAGGCCAAAGGGCATACAAGTATACTCCAACTTGCTAGTGCAGGTGTGAAACGCCGTCTCTTGCTTGTCTTCCGGATGAACTGGGATCTGCAAAAATGCCTCAGGGAAGTCAAACGCAGAACCCGGTAAGCGCTCAAGGATTTCGTCGATCCTGGGCATCGACGGCTTCTGCTTCACTGTAAGTTCGTTGAGCGGCTTGAAGGCGATGCACATGCGACACATTCCGTCCTTTTCCTTCGCCAGCACGGGATTGTGCCCAAAGCGCTATCTGACGGTTGAACCTTGACCGTTTTTAGAACTTCGTCAGCCTGCTGCTCCATTTCCTCTTCAAGATGTAGGAGTCGCCTGTACCTTAGAACAAAGGTTGGGGCTGAGCCGCGAAAAAGGTCGATGCGATGCATTGAGCGTCCAGCGGGTGGCCGCCCGCCGGTACCTCTTTGGTTTTTAGTACATGTGAGAAGTCTTCATTCGATTTTGCCCTCTTCTGCTGCTCGTCGGGCTTTAACTGGATCAAATCCCACAAGACTTCCGCCTTTACTAGACCGTCACGACGGAGTGCATGCGTATCTCCGTCGTCCCCTTTAGTGTCTCTGCAATGCGTGGGAGCCTCTTCGCTCCGTTTTCCGTCGGACACAGTTGCCACACCTCTGACCATGCAAGATGCAAATGCCGTTGGGAGCGCTGAGAGTTGCATATTCTCATAGCGTCGTCGCGGAAAAACATCTATGGCGCTATCAGAGGAGCGCATTTGCACCTTCCACTGGGTCACCCACTGCATGCATACGATTATCTCGTGGTGA